CTAGGAACCAGAAAAGCTTTCCATAACACAAGCGGGGAAGTGCCCTGGATTCACACACCAGCCACCCAGACAGGTCCAGGCAGTCCTTCCGGATATGCATGTAGCCTGAGACACTTGACCAGCCTCACTCTTACTCTCCCAAGGGTAAGGTACATGTTTATACCACAGAGTGGGGACAGAAAAGGGAATTCCATGTCCCAGTGAATTCCATGCAACTGGGTACAGCCCTAAGGAGGCAACACTAAGCAGTGCGGCAGGCACTCTCAGGTGGATCAAGGATCCCACCTCCTGGCATTCATGCTTGTGGGTACACCCCTCCCCTTGAGGGTGGTAGGAGCTGATACCTGCTTCTGACCCTGAGTAAGGCCAAGTAATGGATGGCCCCTCTGATCACCTTACATGAAACTCCTGCAGGCAGATTCTCTCCCTTGCTGGCTCCATGAACAAGCTGCCCTCTGGAGGGGCCCATGTGGCTAAGAACAGAGGATGGCCAGAAAGATAATAACCACTTGAGTTTAGAAAGGATTCTGCCCCAGCCCACACCTGCCTATAGCTTGTGAGAAACCCTAAGGCCTGTGAAGACCCAGCTAAATTGTGCCCAGATTTCTGACCCCTCCCAAAAACCTATCTATATATATAAAAGCCTAAGTAACCGATATGATGGAACAACCAGAATGCACGGTCGCTATGATGTGCACTGACTACCAGGGGGAAGACACTCAATGCAGAGGCTTCCCCCAGCCCACAGGCCCTGATTGCCTGATGGGGCCTGCCAGCCAACCGTCCAGTCCCTCCCTTAGGCCAGTAGGCCCTGATTTGCCAGATGGAGGCTGGGCCTTGAGCCTGGACAGGGAACTAGGAGTGGGTGGCAGTGACCAACCTCCTGTGGCATCAGGCAGAAAGGGGGCCTGCAACCTCTCACCTACTACCTGGGGGCAGGGGTGATGGGGATGGAGGTGCAGTGAGAATGAAGGGCGTCTGCTGAACTCACTCTCACTCCCCCTGCTACCCTCCCTTGGTGTGCCAGGGCTTGCACACCAGAGAAGCCCCCATGCTCAGGTGCCAGGTGCCCACCCTGTACCCATGCAGCCTCTTCCAGGTGAGCCAGGCCACAGCTGCCAGGATTTCAGGGGCCGGTCGGGCTCCCTGTGGGTTTACACAGGAGCCGATCTGCAAGGCCAACCTGGAGAGAGCGTGCTAGCCATCCAGCTTCCATGTGGTGCCACTGCAACCCAGCCCGCGGTGTCCGGCCACAATGACTGCATCTCTGCTTTGGGACTTGGCACCATGACTCAGGCAGAAGGGGGCACTTGGGGCCAAGCTCCCAGGTGCTGCCCAGGGCCCAGAGATCAGCTGGGACCTGCTCTTCTACACCAGATGCTGGCGCTTCTACCGCCGGCCAGACCTAGGGACCACACCCAGGCATGAATTTCGTGCACTGGGCCTCTAATATGCTAATGACTGGGTGCTGTTTTTTGTGTTTGTTAAAATATTCAAGGATATTTTCCACAGACTTTTAGAGAGAATGAAAGTAGGGGGAAAGAAAGAGAAAGAGACACATCAAATGGTTGCCTCTCATACATGGCCCAAGCAGGGCCAGGGATCAAGCCTATAACCGAGGTACATGCCCTGACCAGAATCAATCCTGGGACCTTCAGTCTGCTCTTTCCACTAACCAAATTGGTTAGGGCTGGGTGCTCCTTTAAGGTGCTCAGTTTGTGGTAATTTCTTGGATGCTATAACAGAATATTACAGATTGGGGAGCTTATAAACAACAGAAATTTATTTTTCACAGTTCTGAAGACTGGATGTCCAAGATAAGGTTCTAGCAAAGTTGATGTCTAGTGAAAGCCCACTTCCTTGTTCACAGACGGCTGACCTCTTGCTATGTCCTCACAACGCAGAAGGGGCAAGGGAACTCTGTGGAGTCTTTTATAAGGCACTATGCAATTCATGAGGTTCCACCCTCAAGACCTAGTCACTTCCCTAAGCCCCTATCTCCTAATACCATTGCCCTGAGGATTAGGTTTCTACATATGAAGTTTAGGGGGTGGGGAGATACATTCGGCCCACAGCAATAACTAATACCAATTATAAAAATCATACACTCCTCTGACCAGCCACTGTAGCTATAAAAATCTATCAAAACAACAAGATAACTTTTTTAAAAAAATATATTTTATTGATTTTGTACAGAGAGGAAGGGAGAGAGATAGAGAGCTAGAACCATACACTTAAAAATGTATGATAAATATGCATATTTTACCAAAAAAATAAAATTTAAAAAATGTTTAAAAGATTTGTATAAGAATGTTTATAGTAGCATTATTCACAATAGCCAAAGTCAGAAAATAACCAAAACTGTATCAATAGGTAAACAAATTAAGGTATGTTCGTGCAAAGGAATGCTATTTGGGAACAAAAAGAAATGAATACCAGGGGTATGAACAAATTTCACATACATTATCCTGAGTGAAACAAACTAAAGTAAAGAAGACTATACTGTATGATTCAATTTATAGGAAGTTCTGGAGAGGAAAAAGTACCCTAGAGTGACAGGAAGCAGACCATGGGGGCTGGGGCTATGGGACTGACTTCCAAGGGACAGGAGAGAACTTTTAGGAGTAGTTAAAATGTTCTAGGTATCAATTAGAGAAATAGTTATACAGATACTAGAGGCCCAGTGAATGAAATTCGTGCACAGTGAGGGGAAACCCTCAGCCTGGCCTGCACCCTCTCGCAATCCAGGACTACTGGCTCCTAACCACTGCTCATCTGCCTGCCTGCCTGATCACCCCTAACCACTCTGCCTGCCTGCCTCATCACCCTTAACTGCCTCTGCCTCAGCCCCCACCACAGCAACTTTGTCAGGAAGGACATCTGGAAGGTCGTTCAGCTGTCTAGTCTAATTAGCATATTATGCTTTTATTATTATAGAATATAACTTGTCAAACTCATCTAACTTAAATGTATACTTAAAAATGGGTGTATTTTCTTGTATATCAAGTATATGTCAATAAAATATATATATATATATATTTAAAGTAAATCCACAGCATATTGACCTGCTCTGAGTTAGATTAGTAGGCTTTGTGACCACGAGGACCTGAATTACCCTACAAGAAAGGACTGAATACAGATCAAAGCCAGGTGTGAACTCCCGATCCATACCGTGCTGCTGCACAGATATTCTGGGAACAAGGATGATCTTCAGGTCGCTGATGCCTGCCCTTCTATGGGCCAGCTTTCCCACCACAGGCGCATGAGCAAGCCTGTCACTAAGGACAGGGCAGAAAGGGGAGCTGCCTGGTGAAGGACGAAAAGAAAGCAGAAGTTACCTAATGTATTTCAAAATGCCTTTGTGTCTACACTGGCATGCCGAGTTTTGGGAGAAACACTAGAGCAGTTTGTGGACTGGTTTCCTGTGAAGGAAGAGCTTTTCCTTTGCCTTAAAAACCACACCAGACCAAACCAAACCAAAGCTTCCTGCTGTCCATAAAAAACAAACCACACACAAAAACAAAAAAAACAAGCACACACAGAAACAGGAGAAATACAGGACATTTAAAAAAATATTCATAACCCCCAAACAGAGATAACCACTGTTAATGTTTTCATGTATTTCACTCCATAACTCTTTCATTTGACACCCATAGATATACTATATAATTAAGCATACATTTTCCCCACTTAAAATACCAGAGATTCAATATCATTGAATATTCATTAAATATTCCTCCAAACCAACACTTTTAAAGGCTGTATAATAATCTCATCCTATGAATATTTCTTCTGTTGGACCCGTAGGCTACTGCAGTTTTTATTTTTGTTTGTTTTTACCCCTACTGGGGATGTACCCGCAACCAAGGCACATGCCCTTGACTGGAATCAAACCTGGGACCCCTAAGTTCGCAAGCTGACGCTCTATCCACTGAGCCAAACTGGTTTCGGCTATTTTTCTTTTTAATAAACAAATACAAAACCTTGATTTCCTCTAGTTATGTCCCTTCTTATTCTCCAGGAGACATTTCTAATTAATTGGGAAGTAAAAGGGAAGGCTGCTTTAAGGCTCTGGATATGTTGCCGAGTCCCTTACAGAGCACCACACACACCCCTGAGCACTCTTAGTGCTGAGTGTTATCAGACTCAACTCTGTGATAAGCTTCAGGTGAGTGTTTCATCCTATTTAATTTTAAGGTTAAACATCTTTCCATGTATTTTTCATCACAGCAATTTTCAACCGGTGAGCTGCAAGAATTTCACAATAGCTGTCCGGTGCAAATAAATAAAAACTATATGCTTTTTTTTGGGTCAGGTCAGCAAAAAAATATTTCTTGGTGTGCTGCAGAATTTTAGTAATTACTTTATGTGTCCATGAGATGAAAAGAGTTGAAAATCACTGTTTCATTAGAATCTCCTGTGGCCCTGGCCAAGTGACTTAAAATAAGAAAAATACTCCCACTGATGACACTGTCATCAAGTTGTTCCTATCCATCAAGGGGTTTGATCACTGCTGCTCTGGACCAAACCAAGTCACTGCCTGCCCCAGTAACCAAGAGAGCAGTGTGCATGTATCGATACATGTGTGCTTGCAAGCATGAGTGTGAGCGTGAACTCAGGACCGTCGACTCTTGTGGGAGATCTGTGCCACAAGACAGCGTGGCAGCTTCTGCAGGCTGACAAGCACTATCTACCACACAATTCCTGAGATCTGTGCCCAGGGACAGGCCTCTCCCTTGCACACCTTGCGTCTTTAAGAGAACCAGGCTCAGCTCCTAAAGCCTGCCAACACTGGATCCAGGAAGAGAGGGGACCAAATAGGAAACAGAAATCAACACAAAATGATTAGGTAACTAGAGGAGACTCACTGAACAAGTGCTAAGTGGTGCATCCCCAGAGGCTTTGGGATGGATACCAGCAATGGTACCTGGGCAAGAGGGGGGGCGGACGACAGTAACTGTTGCTAAGTTACAGCTCCCAATTCCTCTGCAGTGATTCTTGGACCTAAACACAGAACCTCAGCACCCTGTCAGATATCATTTCCTTCAGTCACTCAAGGCTGTACAAAGCAACTAAGTCCTGATAACAAGCTGTCACCCATCTCTCCCAGCAGAGACCTGAGTAGCAGGCACTCACCCTGCCTTGGTTCAGTTGACAGACAACTGCTGCCGGGAAGATCCAGGCTGGTAATGAACCAGCTAATGACCCCAAGAACTGCCAGAAGGAACACGGACCCACCTCAGCCAGTGTTGCTACTCAAGCTAGGAACCACCTGATGGCTTCCTGGGCTCACAAACACCTGCTCATCACCCCGCTTAGATCTCTGTCCAGGGTTTACATTTATTCACTTGCCCAGAGATCTGGCACCCAGCTGTCCACACTCTGACACTTAAAAATCTGTCGAGTGCTTGCCTTTCCAGCACTTGGGCCTTCTTCCATTCTCTGTTCTTCCTAAAAGATGCTGGGACACCTTCTCTGGAGTGGAAGGTATCCTCTCTTGGGATGTTGGTCTCCTGATACCATGCCCTTGCTTCCCTCTTCACTTTATTAACTGTATTTACCCTCACCTCCCACCCTAATGACTCCACACACCTGGTGGTCTCTGATGTCTGCACTCAGTCTCAACATCCTGCTCCTTAGGGCCCAGGGCACTAAATTCTGCCCCACAAGCCATCTCCCCTCTCTTCTCCCATTTTTTTTCCCCCTCTGTAATGTGCTCCAAGCCAGGTGCCAGACATTGAGAAGACCTCCCCCAATTTTCTCCAAACACCCAACAAAGGACGCCCTGACTAATGTGGCCGCAGGTCCCACAACAACCCATCAAGACACATGCCACTTTCAGGACCGGTTTGGCTCAGTGGATAGAGCGTCGGCCTGCGGACTGAAGCGTAGGCCTGCGGACTGAAGGGTCCCGGGTTCAATTCCGGTCGGGGGCATGTACCTTGGTTGCGGGCACATCCCCTGTGGGGGGGGTGCAAGAGGCAGCTGGTCGATGTTTCTCTCTCATCGACGTTTCTAACTCTCTGTCCCTCTCAATTCCTCTCTGTGTAAAATCAATAAAATATATTTAAAATAATAAAAAAAAAGACACATGCCACCCTTCATAGTGCTGTCCACTACGCAGGCCTAACTACAACTCCATCCCTTCTCCTACTCACCCACTCCCCAGACAAGTATGTGGCTAGCTTCTCAGGGACCAACAACTTCACACTTTGCCAACTGCAATTCATATAGAACAGGAGGCAAAAATGCCTACAAGACTTTCTCATCTTCCCCACTTCCTGTAACATATTTCTATTTAGTTCATCATCCAAGACATAAATACTCTTGCTAATGGGAACAATGACATTACATAGTATATTCACAACAGGACACAGCAGTGTCACTATTACCACACAACCTTGAATGAGGGACCCGGCTCTGCACAGTAGAACATTTGCTCTATTAACTGCTTAGTTTACAGAAAGTGCTAAAGATTGGAGAAAAACTTAAACACTAAAAATATTCTGCCTACTCAACTGTTTTCTGAAAATTTCGGAAAGGCCACACCAGTCCAAGTTACAAATCAGCCAAGTTAGCATAATCTGAAGCAGATAAGGTTACCTGTTCCCCTTCCCCACTCGGTCTGATCTTTACTAGAACATCACACACAGCAGGCGAGTGCCTCTGACAAAGGAGGAGACAGGTCCAGATTGGTCTATGTGTGGCCCTTTGTGGCCTCTGGAAACCTCTCTGTAAACCCGTGGTTGGCGGGGGACTGGAAGCGCTGGGGCTTCTGCTGCTCTGCTGGATGCAGACAGGAGGGAGGCAGCAGGGCAGGAGTAATATAGTGAAGGGAAAAAATGGGTCTCAGTGACTGGTCCTGAGAAGGTTTCTAATTTTAATCAGAGGAAGAAGGCAGTCCCAGGACCAGGGACAGAGGTACCAGTAGAAGGAAGGCGTACAGGTTGGGATGCACTAACAAGTAAGTCAAACACAAAGGGAAGCACTAGTGGGGGGGTCAGGCCCAGGCTCAGGGTGGAGGTGAGGGCAAGAGCACAGAATACCTAGTGAGGTCTACGGCCATACCACCCTGAACACGCCCGATCTCGTCTGATCTCGGAAGCTAAGCAGGGTCGGGCCTGGTTAGTACTTGGATGGGAGAATACCTAGTGAGAAGAAGGTCACTCCCACCAATCTGACTGCCAGACTCCTGAAGAAAGGGGTCACACAGCAGCACATAAGATAGTGGTGCCAGCCCCATGCTGCCTGATAGCTGCAGGCTCTCAGCCGGTCTGAGCCTTAGTTCTTCATTTGTAAAATGAGAGGGTGATGGTACCTGCATCACAGGATGGCACTGAAGACTAGATGAGGAACAGCGCCAAGAAGCTCAGCCCTGGGCCTAGCACCTATCACTCAGGCCAACACCCACCTCAGAATCCGGCATCAGACAGAGAGAAGGCAAACCCCAATAAATCACCCAGAAAGTGGGCAAGAGCCAGACATGAGAACCCAGCCAAGTACAGAGGGAGAGAGGGACTGGGAGGGGTTGTGAGATGCCCAGCAGAATGGGGATGCTGCATACAGGCAGCTCTTTCATTTAGAACACACATCTAGTTAGTGCCTCTTTTTTTTTTTTTTTATAATATATTTTATTGATTTTGTACAGAGAGGAAGGGAGAGAGAAATAGAGAGTTAGAAACGTCGATGAGAGAGTCATCAATCAGCTGCCTCTTGCACACCCCCTACTGGGGATGTGCCCACAATAAAAGTACATGCCCTAGACTGGAATCGAACCCAGGACCCTTCAGTCCCCAAGCCGATGCTCTATCCATTGAGCCAAATCAGTTTCGGCTAGTTAGTGTCTCTTGTGTGCAGGTCCCATGCTACTGTTGAGGACAAGGGTGTCCAGGCCAGAGGCACGTCCTGACTCAGGGAATGGTATGGAGAAGTGTTTGAAGACACCATGTACTCTGAAATTTGAACTGAGGACTGAAACCCACTTGCAGCCAGGTGAAAAGAGACATTTGGAATTGTCCAGTGAAAAGCCATGGAGTGGGGGACAGGGCAAGCTCAGGCCCAACTGCTGGGTGCTGACATGGGCCACAGCCCACATTCTGACACCTAGGAGTGCAGACACACAGCATCCTCTCCCCACAGGCACAGTACTAACACAGAAATAATCAGTAGGGCCCTAGCCAGTTTGGCTCATGGATAGAGCATCAGCTTGCAGATTGAAGGGTCTCCGGTTTGCTTCAAGGGCACATGCCTGGGTGGCGGGCTCAATCCACAGTGGGGCATGCAGGAGGCAGCCAATTAATGATTCTCTCACCCTTGATGTTTCTCTCTCTCTCTCTCTCCCTCTCCCTCTCCCTTCCTCTCTGAAATCAATAAAAATATATATTTTTTAAAAAACCTTTAAAAGCTTATTAAGACCCATATTTGAGAGAGAGAGAGAGAGAGAGAGAGAGAGAGAGAGAGAGAGAGAGAGAGAAAAGAAGGACGAACCAACAATCAAACCAGAAGACTCAAGTATTAGTGGCAGACCTCAATGCTTGCCCGACTTTATCCATACCTGTCACAACTGCCTCACTCCTGTTCATCGGACCTCCTACTTCCCTCTCTGCGTGCCCTGGGCTCAAAGGACACGAGCGTCCTATATACTCAGCAGGTCCCACCAACATTGACCCCCCGATTAGCAGACAGAGAGAGATGGAGTTATTCCTATTTCAAGTCTTTCAAGATGCAGACATATCAACTATATCGCACCTTCCTATTGACCCTCAACATAAAGATCTGTGAGAGCGAAGGCAGAGGACACAACTGTCTTGACCAGGACCTTCATCACTCTAGATTAGGGGTGTCGAACTCAATCAGAGAAGGGGCCAAAATCTAAAATCCAGCCTAAATCGCGGGCCGAATGGTTTACTGAACAGTCATAAACTGTCATTGTGATGGAAACGCAGCGGAGTGCAGTGATGACAGCGCGGTGCGGGCCACATTGCAAGGCCTGGCGGGACGGATTTGGCCCGCGGGCCTTGTGTTTGACACATGTGCTCTAGATAAAACGGGGGGCTATGCACCAGGGTGCACCCAGCACACTGCCTTGAGGACCCACAGCCTTGCGCAGAGTCAGATCAGGCAGTGCACTCAGGAACAGAAGCTGCTCACGGAATACTCTACTTTCTTCCTACCAACTTCCACAACCCAGACTTCTTGTCGCTTATGCTCTGGCGTGTATTTCCCCAGCAGATGGCCCGGTAGAACCTCTATGCAAAGTGTTCTGCTCTGTCCAAGGAGAGCACAGACTCTCCCCTAAAACTGTTGCTATGTATTAAGAAAAACGTAAACCTCCTGAGAAGAAGGTTTCTAATTCTATGGAAGCCTGTCAGCACAGTGCACATCAGCAACACCAGAGTCTAAGAGCCACTGTGGGCCCCCGCAGGGGTTGGCATGTTGGCACATAGGGCTCATCACTAACTCCTTCAGGTGCCAGCGCTAGAAAAGGCTGTCTTGATGACTCAGATGTTTATGAAGCTGCCGAGAGCGACGTGCGCTCACATACATGCCTGAGGAACAAGCTAGACAAGACTTCAATGTGGGCAAATCATCTGGGGCCTAAGGAAGGGGGTTAGTCACACACCTGTCACATGCCATGTTGTCACCTGCTCCTAGACAGAAGAACCATAAATGTTTAGGCTAAAAACAAGAAGCCTAGAAATATGCAGAGGGCTTTTAACAACAAAGGGGGAAAAGAAATACATGTATATCCTTTGTAAGATGGCCAGAAATAAAATTTAAAAAAAACACACTCACAACTCCTGATTATTACACCTTTTTCAAAGGAAAAATTCCCATGATGCTGAATCCTGAGAACCAGCAGCTCCAGAGCTTCCAAAACTCCCAACAGTCTCCCTTAGGAAGCCTTCAGGGGAGCAGAAAGAAGTACGCTCAGGTCACCAACTTCACTCTGATAAAGAACAGGCCTTGGGGTCGGTGAGCCAATGCACTGACCACAAAGACCCACTGTGCACGTCTGCACCTCGAGGACCCCTAGATACTGGGCACAGGTGCTCTGCCTTCTCCGTTAATGCTCTGGGGGACCCACAGTAACCTAGGGGTGTGCCCTGGCCCTAACGGCACACAGAACCTTCCTAAAAGTGGGCTTTCTTCTCCTTTTCTGGCAGACGGCCCTACACTGGACCAAACACCTCCGCTACCTCAGGCAGGTCTCCACACTGTACTCAGCCAGCATGTCATAGGAAATGTGGCAATGCCCTGCAACTGACAGAGGGGACAGAAGGCAGTTCCTACCTCTCCAGCTAGTGGCTCTGTGTTCTCCGAATGCTCACTGCACCGGCTGGAGTACCCGATGGCGGAGCTAAGTTGACCCTCAGAAGTGCAAACATATGTCCCAGGAAAACACTGCTGCCCCTAAGGAAGCCCAGACCCTCTCACACTCTTCTCATATGCCAGCAGCAGCCCTGGAAG